CCCACTGAGCCATCCAGGCGTCCCTTGGTATATATTCTTTAAAAATGTATGTATATAAAAAACAAAATTAAAACACTTGGATACCCACGATCCAGCCTAAGACCTAGCTATCAGTGTCTTGAAATAAAGATATTTATTTGTATTTATCCATCTTTTGTTCATTTTCTCATTCTGTGTGTGTGTTTGTGTGTATACATGTATGTACATATTAAAAACTTAAATGTGAAGGACAAAATCTTCAGAAGAAAATAGGGAGTGTTTATCTTTTATTATTTTACATTTATATCTGTAGAATTGCCATTTAAAGATACTATTTATTATTAAGTATTATTTTAGTTTTACTTGTTTTTGAGCTTTTTAAAAATGGTATGACTTTAGTGTTCACTGACCTGCTTTTTCTCACTCATTGTATGTTTGAGGTTCATGCATATTCTTGCAGTAGATGTAGTTGATTCATTCTCATTGCTGAGTGTTAGTCTGCTGTGTGAATAAAAATAATGCACTTATTCTCCTGTTCATGGACATTTGGGTTGTTTCCAATTTTTTGCCATTATGAAGATATGCTACAAACATTCTTGTACATGTCTCCAGATAAAAAATGTATGAGGTTTTCTCTGTTTGCTGATTATCTAGGCCCAGGTTATACAAGTGTTCAGATTTTTAAGATAATGCCCAACTGCTTTCCAAAAAAGCATTCTAATATATCTATCCACTTGTAGTATATAAAATTTTCACTGCTTCACACCCTAGCTTGATATTGGCTAATACTTGATATTTGCAAGTCATACGGTCTTTTCTTTCTTCACATTGTCCTTTGGTATCAATGTTCGTCTCATAAAATAAGTTGGGAGTGTTCCCTACATTTCTGTTCTCTGGAAACATTTATTTAAGGTTGAAATGATCTGGGGGTACCGGAGTGGCTCAGTCAGTTAAGGATCTATCTTCGGCTCAGGTCATGATTCCAGGGTCCTGGGATCAAACCCCACATTGGGCTCCCTCCTCAGCGGGGAGTCTGCTTCTCTCTCTCCCTCTGCTGCTGATCCTGCTTGTGCTCGTGTGCTCTCTCTCTCTGTCAGATAAATAAATAAAATCTTAAAAAAAAAAAAAACCTCTAAAGAAAAAAGATTGAAATGATTTGTTCTTTGATTTTTAAAACTTATAAACTGGCTGGGCATATTCTTTCTGAAAAGACTCTTCTAAAAGAGAGTCTATATATATGTATTTTAGGTTTTTAGTATTTTTATTATAAAGAATTATGAACACATAAAAAAGTAAACAAGATATTACATTTAACTCCAGGCATTCCTAAACCCAGTTCCAGCATCTGTAAAATCATGATCCATCCTGCTCCATCCTTACCCTTATCCACTTCCCTCAAAGAAGACTGGGGATATTACAGTGAATGAAATTGAAGGCATTTGAATTTATTTGTAAATATTTTACTATGTGTCTCTAAAACATAAAGATTCTTAAAAAAAAAAAAAACCCAATACTGTTATTATACCTTAAAAGAAACAATTCCTTAGTATTAAAGAGTTAGTTGGTTTCAATTTTATAATTATCTAATATAATAAAAGGGTTGAGCTATATATAAATATATAAATAATATATTTTAAAACGCATTTTTAAGTTTATGTATAAATTATGCATATACACAGATTGATTGATTGATTTGAATCAGCATCCAAATAGTGTTGACGTATTGTAATTGGTTGAGATCCCTTTCCAAGTAGATATGATCTTAAAATCTTATTAATGATTTCTGATTTGAATAATTATTGATTTCTAATTAATTTCATTGTGGTGATAGAATATTATCACTTATTTCCTTTGAAATATACCACGGCTTTCTTTATGGTCTGATACATAGTCAAGTTTTTAAATATTTAATGCCTGCTTGAAAAGGATACATAATTCTCTTATTATTGGTTGTGGGATTCTGTATTAATTCATTAAATAAAGCTTTTTAATGTTAATTTTTCTTTCTCCTTTCTTACGTATTTTTTTTTCTTGACAAGACCACATTGTTGCCTTACAGTTTTTCATTGCAGCAAGCATCTCTGTGGTGTAGTTTAATATATTCTTCTGCCTTTTTGAATCTCTTTATTTCTATAAATTGATAATTGGATTTAGACAGTTGATTAGATTCATGTTTGATTTTTTTTCTTTTTCAAGGTCATCCATTAGTGCTAATGTGTTCCTTGATCATGAAACTCACAATGGTTATCTTTTTTGTGATGCCAATGTCCCTTTATGTTTAGTGCCTTGATTTAGTAAAGATTTAAAATGATAATATTCGAGTTCTATTCTTTTTTCATTCACTAGCTGGAACACATCAGTAATGAGAAACTTACCTTCACTGATTGTTTACCCAGTGGTACAGTTTGTATATGAAAGGTGAAATAAATGCCTGTTTCCCTATATTTGCTAGCTTTCAATAAATTAAAATTTTCCCCAGTATAGTCCAATAATAATTTCTTTTGTATCAGTATGAGCTCATTGAATTAACCATACTTAATGTTTCAAAATATGGCATTTATTATTTTTATTGGTATGCAAATTGTTCCATCTTCGGCCATTGGAAGACTTTTCCAGCCTTTTGGCACAACCCAAGTAGGCTTTATACCTCTGTTGATATCTGGATAAGAAGATGATTTAAGCTCATCATGAACGTTTCTAGTCCCAAGACCTGAAATTGGACATTTCTCTAAGGAGCCCTGATTGCCTTTAGAGGGAAATGGTATTTGGAGGTAACAGTCTGGGTACTAGAGGTGTGCATTTCTACAGAACTTGTCATCCTTTCTAAACTTCTCAATGGTCAGAACTAGATTTGTGTGTGAGAATAGTGTGTATGTTTTTATTCAAAATGAAATACATCATGAGTTTAAATTGATACTTCCAACTCAAATTGAAGAGCATAAGGGTAACTTTTTCCCTGTTACATCTTCCTTCTCAATAATTCCATTTTCTTAATGCCCTCAGGAATGGCAGAGTTAAAATGTCTTATATTAGTCATTTGCTTTCTTCCTCATCAAATGATCTCAGAATAGCAATACTAAAATTATCAATAATAGTATGATTACTGAAAATGTAAAGAGTCTAGTGATTCACTTTACTTCATTGGTGTAAGTGTTTTGTTTTTTCTTACGTCAGTTTTGTTAAATGATTTTTTATAGGAATTTGTCCATTTCTTCTAAATTTACATAATTATTTATACAAGATTGTTCTGTGTCTGTATTATCTTTTAAACCACAGCTGTCAATGTAGCTGTGTTCTTTTCTTTCTTACTATTATTTATTTATTTATGCTTTCCTTCTTTATTGTCTCAGAAATTTGTCAATTTTATTTTAGTTTTTTTGAGGAACAACTTTGGCTTTATTAATTTTTTTTTTACCTTCTTCCTTCTATTTTGTTTGGAATTATTCTGTTCTTGCACTACTTTCTGATCCCAACTTCATAAGTAGGTCACTTAATTCATTATTCATTATCCCTTCTTTTCTCATATAAACATTTAAGACTTTTGGTTTATACTTAATATATTATTATCACTAGCAGTTTGTTACAAAGTTTAATTATTATGATAGGATCCATTTTTCCTTGATATTTTTTTGAACTTTTAATACCATGTTGTTGGTATCTTACTAAGATGATTTATCTCTCCCCCCTTTAGCCAAAGCAGTTTACAGTTTTGGTAATTTCTCTTCATTTAGTGTTTATATTATAATTTCATATATAGATATATTACAGATGTACCCAGTTTTGCATATTGCATATATTTCTAAATTTTTCTTTTCCTTCTTTCTTTCTCTAGTAGTTTGCCCATAAGTCCTTCTTATGGTGTTTTTGTTGTTGTCTTTTAAAAAATTTTTTTTAAAAATGAGCTTTACTGAGCAGTAATGTTCATGTAGTTATGAGATTTGACCAATACATATAGTTATAAATCCTTCACCACAGTCAAGATACCGAAGAATTCCAACATCCTCCAAAACTTTGCTCATGCCACTTTGTAGGGCTCCCCTTCCACCATTCTCTCTATGGTGCTGTCTTGTCTTTGTTTTCAGAATAGGTGGTTTTTCTGTGATCATGGCTCTCTGAGAAAGTACCACAGAAGTTATAATTTTATTGATTATCTGGCTTTTGTTATTGTTAAGGTGTAAATGGTACTTTTTCCAGCTGAGCACATTAAACACGTTGTTTCACTTGCACATTTTGGGGGTGGGTATTAAAATGTCCATGTATCATTTTGCATTGACACTACCATTTGAATTTCTTTCTCTCACACATTTTCTTTTGTATTCCTGTATATCCTCATTGAAATTTTATTTAGCACACAATGATCTCTTAGGTCATTCTATAATTTGTACTTAAAATATTTTAACATTTTAAAGTTCAGCATTAAAAGATTACGAAGTTAATATGTAAATTTCAAGTTTATGAATTCTCTGAACTTCTCCTTGCTTTTTAGTTCTGATTTTCAAATTAAATATTAATATATATTATCCTGAGTTTTACTTTACTATAACAGGACATGTTTTGTTAATACATAATCAAAAAATGTTATAGAAACTTTAATGTATATAATTTTTTGATTGCCAGATTTATCATTATTTGTGTTTATCATCTTATTGTAATTAGCTAATTTTAAGGCCATATGCAAACTTTTTTGTTGAATACATTATATCAAAGGAACTGATTTTTATTACCAAGAAGTTATTAATATTGATAAAATTTTGAAAATATTTCATCTCAGCTGCATCTCATTTTTTAAAATGTGGTATTATATATGGTTTATAATAACTTATTCTTAGCAGATATCCACAATTTTTGAATTGATTTTAAATGCTTCTACTAATGTATTAAATATTGTATTGATCAAATACATGATAATATCATCATTTTGGAAACAGTATTGTATATTTTAACCTGATTTTACCTCCTTATTGCTTTCATTGCCATTAACACTGGCTTGCTAAATGGTTCTTTTCTTTTTACTTCTATAGGTTATTTTAGTGTCTGCCAATAAATTGACTCGTTACATAGAACCATGCCAGTTAACAGAAGATTTTGGCGGGAGTCTCACCTATGATCACATGGACTGGTTAAATAAGAGACTGGTTGGTATATTATAGTGAGATTGTTATTACATACAAATAGGCATATTTTGGTGACTTTATCATTTTAATTAACTAGCATGTAGATTGTTCTTTGTTATAAAAATAAAATATAGTGCATACCACTTGATAGCATAATGCTTGAAGGCAAATAGTCTACAGTCAGTCTTGTAAGTGCTTGCTTTTGTTGTCATTTGTAGCAGTATTACTATCAAAATTTTGAATATTTTAGTTGAATGACAGTAGCATAATTTCTTTGAGAGGTAATCTAATTGGTGTACCATTTTCAGAGAGGATATTTAAACATCAGTTTGACTGGAAAAGCAGTTTGACAGGTTAAGGTTTTCATTTCTGAAAATGTATCTTTGGCCATACTGAAGTCAACTCCTTTGCTTGCTATGGCATTGTTTAACAAACTACTGGGGACTAAAAGAACAACTTTTAACCAACTCAGTTTAGATTACAGTTATTCTTTGAATGACATGGGAATTGGGGACCCTAACCCTCTCCAGAGTTGAAAATTTGTGTATAAGTTTTGACTTCCCAAAAACATGGTCAAGGGTCAACTGTATAAGCTTAATTTTGTTGGAGAATAATAAACTGGGATATTTCAGAATGGATAACTTGATTTCGATCATATTTGGACAGTTATATCAGACAAATGAGTGTCCCCTTTATTATAAACAGACTTGCCCAAATCCGTTTTTAGAAATATTTTAAGAAACCATGTTAAAGTTATAACTAATTTATTTTTATGCTACATGCTTGCTTATATGTAAAAGTCTTCAGTATATGCAACCAGTATGGATTGGTGATAGGAAAACATAAAGAAAAGTTCTGTATCTGGTATTAGAAGATTAATAGTGGCCCAAAACATGTTCATGTAGTTAAAACTGTTACTAGTGTAGATGTTTCTTCACAAAACAAAGGAATAAAAATAAACTTGTCTGAGGAATAAAAATAATTTCTTTAGGGGTGCCTGGGCAGCTCAGTGGGTTAAAGCCTCTGCTTTCCGCTCAGGTCATGATCCAGGGTTCTGGGATGGAGCCCCACATCAACTCTCTGCTCAGCAGGGAGCCTGCTTCCTCCCCCACCCCCTTCTGCCTGTCTCTCTGCCTACTTGTGATCTCTGTCAAATAAGTAAATAAAATCTTTATAAATATTTCTTTTTTTAATTTTAAAAATTTCTTACATTGAAACTATTCATTGTTCTGGAAGGGTTTTTTTTTTTTTTTTTTTTTTTTTTTTAAGATTTTATTTATTTGACAGACAGAGATCACAAGCAGGCAGAGAGGCAGGTAGAGAGAGAGGGGGGAAGCAGGCTCCCCGCTAAGCAGAAAGCCCCATGCGGGGCTTCATCCCAGGACCCTGGGATCATGACCTGAGCCTAAGGCAGAGGCTTTAATCCACTGAGCCACCCAGGCACCTCTGGAAGGGGGATTTTGTTTTCTCTTTTTTAAGTTGTTGTGCAGTGGTCCTTGAATTGTACTAAGTGACGTCAACAGAGGAAAAGGGAATTCTGCCTGGCTAATTCTATTCATCTTAACTGAAAATCCTTATGTAAATTAACTTTCAAGATTATTCTTAATATGTTAACAAAATCTTATTGTAGGTTTTTGAGAAGTTTACAAAGGAATCTACATCATTACTAGATGAACTTGCTTTGATTAACAATGGAAGTGATAAAGGAAATCAGCAAGAGAAAGAAAGGTAGGTGGCTGGTGTCTTGCAATTATACCTTTGCAAAGCTGTGATTAACCTGAAGAAGAATATCTCTATTAATGCAAGCTAAAAGAGGTAAGGTGTAGCAATTCTCCAGTCAAAATTGACATACAAAAGTTGTATTAAATTTATTTATTCATGAGAATTTGCTTTATATGTAAAATTTCTTGATTTGAATCAGAGTTTCTCTCTAAAGGCTTTTTGATGAATAAAATGTATTTACCTTAAAAATTCATCTGCAAGAACATGTTCTCAAAATGAAACCATTTTCTGAGTTCTACTTTGCTTATAAAGGAAAAGGTTGTGGCTTGAAGTAAATTTATTATAACCTTATTTAAATACCTCTTAAATGCCTACCTTCTAGAACTCCTAGGTCCTTATAAAATATGTGGTATTTATAAGTTCAGTTTGAAGAATTTAGTGTTTTTGACTCTGGATGAAGTAATTGTTCAGCTGTATTATCTAAATATAACTATCTAGATTTATCATTTTAACAGATTTCCATTGAATTTTATAGGCTTAACAATTTTCATTTTTTTGTTGATAAGCCAAATTCCTCTCCCCAGCTTAAAAGCTTTTTAGGAAGCAAATTAATTCTTTCTGGTCTCTCAACAAAGTGGTTACTAGAACAATAATTTTTCATTAGGAAATTGGAAAGGATCAACATTCATCCTTGTCTATGTCTTTTGAATCTGATCTTAAAAATGTAATGAAACCTTGATAATATGAATCTTATTATTCCTTGACTACAAATATAGTCAACATACCAGTTAACTGAGATAATAAGGGAGGTGGGATGTGAGAAGGTCAGAGTTTAACACCCATTCTTGATTAAAACAAAGTGAAAATGTGAAAACAAATGGTTTGAATGGAAATGTAGTTAAAGTCACAGGAAGCATTTAGGAACATTATTGTCCTGTAGATATCATATAAAAGTATAAAATGTAAAATTTTGACATACACATAAATGTGTGTATATAGATAACACATACACTCCATGCTATGGCTTAGGAATTGAAAACATCGCATAAGTTGGTTGACAAAAATTAGCCAAACTTTTTGCTTTCTGAGTAGCCCAGCAGAGTAAGTTTGATGCTTCTTAAAGTCATTTTCCTCAGGAAAGATGTCCTAAGAGGGTCCCTGTAGAAAACAAGTTCATGGTCACAACTTAATGCTGTTTACCGTATTCCCTCTCTGAGAATGACTGTGAACATTTATAGATTACAGGTCCTGAGAAAGCATTGCAGTAAAGAAACCTGTTTCCTGTACTTACATGCCAGTGGGACCCCCTTTTCTCCATCTAATAATATCTTGTTCAGTGTTTTGGGAAACACTTTGGGAAGTGCTAGTTTGCGTGACTACATGAAGTATCAAATAAAATCTTGTATTTCCATTTCCTCCCCAAGGAACTCAAGTGTTGCTACATAGTCTTTTTTAAATCTCGATAATAAAGTACCTCCACTAAATCCCAGATAATATAGTCCCTCCACTTGAAATTTTCATCACCTTTTTAATGTTATTACTCCAGAAACGTCCAGGCTACACAAGAGGCAAGGGCCCAGATTAATTGACAAAAGTGGAAGATTTAAAGTAGGACCTGTCATTTACAGCAGCAAGGTCCTAGGCTTTGATTTTCTGTGTATCCTATATTTCCTTCAACTTCTACTTCCTATATGTGTTTAAGAAAATACAGAGCATGGTCCAATTGCAAATTAAGCACTATTAGTACAGGGAAGAGAGTTCAACCGCTTGGGGGATGCACATGCACATGAATATCAGAGACTCTTTGTAGCTCTCAAAGGTTGCTGTAGATAAGTAAATGCTCAATTGGAAGATGGCTTCATGCATTTTTAATGTTCACATTTCTGGGTTGTTATATAGTTACACATTTCATTTTGGAATAAATATGCATTGGGAAAATACTAAAATGCATTCCTTCGATGTATTTGAAATAATACTATAATGATAATAAACTTTTTTTCAAGTAGTATATTCTATGATTTATCACACAGTTTTTTGTTTTTGTTTTTGGTTTTTTTTGCTACTAGTATTTAATTATCTCTAATTGGTTTCTTAATGCTTAAGAGCATTAGCCTGGAAGAATAGTATACTTCAGATTTCAACACCATATACTTCTGTTTGATATGCATACATAAAGGATTTTCTTTGGTCGTATAGATAAAAATAAAGTTTTTAAAAGTTATTCTTATGGTGTTTGCCAGGTCTGTGGATTTAAACTTTCTTCCATCAGTTGATCCTGAAACAGTTCTTCAGACAGGTAAGATAAAAAATGTGTTTATTGGTGATAGTCAAATCCAATAAACCAATCATATATTGATTGGTTCATGAAATAAACATTGATTAAGCATATATTATGTGACAAAAACTCAAGGGGAATTTAAAAACTGGCCTTTGGTTTAACCTAACAGTGTGTTAATATACCTTACAATATTTTTAGAAAGTATTAATAATGACAAATTGTTAAATTATTTCTCCCTTGAAATATTTGTATTTGTTTCCTTGTCTATGAAATGGAGATAAGTTTCAATTTCATTGGATCGCTATGAGGATTATTGAATACTCCTTGGGTTCTAAGATTGTGTTTTTATATTCCATTCTCCTTAATGACCTCTTTTTTTTTTTAAGATTTTATTTATTTATTTGACAGAGAGAGAGACATCACAAGTAGGCAGAGAGGCAGGCAGAGAGAGAGAGAGGGGGAAGCAGGCTCCCTGGGATCATAACCTGAGCCAAAGGCAGAGGCTTTAACCCACTGAGCCACCCAGGTACCTCCTTAATGACCTCTTGACATAGTATCACTTTCCCTATTTTGTACTTGAGGAAGCTCAAGCTTAGAGATAATGAAAAAACTTGCTCATGATGGAGTAATTATTAAACTCTGTCACCATACTACTAAAAACAGGTACTATTATCATCCCAAGTTTAAGATGGGGAAACTGAGGCCAAAAAAAGCTCAGTAACTTATGCAAGTTACACAACTAGTAATGCTAGAGTTGGGACTTGAACGAAGGCAGTTTGGTTTCAAAGTATGGTCTTTGAAATCATTATACGGTGCTGCTTCTCTGATGGAAATGTTTCTATATGGAAAACATTAAGAGTAATAACAATTGTAAAAGAAAAAAATAAATGGCTTCTGATCTTAATGGCTTTATATGTGTGTGTGTATATGTATATAAAAATGTATGTGAATATATATAGAGACTTTGTTTAAAAGTCTTTAAAACAGTTGTTTTTCTAATTATAACCTGTAATGAAGAGTAAAGAAAGTAAATTGAGTATCTTCATTGTATTGATACCATTGAGGCAAGTGTTTTCAGTATGATACTGATCTTCCTTAGAGAATAAGGAAATAATTGTAATCTATGAATTCCTACATGTTGAGCAGGTACAGTAGACTGTTAATAAAAATATGGCTTGCTTTAGGTTTAAATTTTAATTCCACTGTTATATTTAATGTTTTGAAAGCTACTGAAGCCCTTGAATTAAGAAGCTTTTCAAATTTGTGTTTTGAAATTAGCTTTATATGCCACTAAGATCTTTTTTTAGATGCTTTTGACTCTTAGAGTAGGGATAAAAAGAGAATATACAAATGGAGAGGTTTAGAACAATTTGGGGTATTTTTTAGAAATTGGTAATACCTTCAAATCATGATAAAAATTCTTTTTCTAAGTATTGAAAGCCATTTAAATATAGGACATTTTTCTGAATAAAGATGAAGAGAATTTAAGTATTTGCATTTATTTTTGGTCCTTAAGTAATAATTGGAATAGTGTTAACCTGGAAAAACAGTTTGCGATTTATTCACTTTTAAAATTCTAATTTTGATGTTGGATATTCTGCAATTTTAATTTCTCATGCATGAATGGATTTTTACATGAAATTGATATAATTGGATAACATTGAATGAATTTCTTATACTAGTATAGTCCCTCATGATTCACAGTTAATATGTTGTAGAGATTCCTTAAATAGAAACTATTTAAATTTTATTTTGTACCAGTAATAAATCTTTCTCCCTTTAATCATATATTTATTTGTTACCCTGTCAACTTTTATTTTAGATAGTAGGATTAAAGGTATGGATTGATACTGAAATCCTACAACATATTGCTTAGTATTGATTAGTACTATCAAATAGAACATACTAGTTAGTACCATACTAGACAGAAATCCCAGAATGTAATTGTGCTCTACAGAGGAAGAGGATTGGTTGGCACAGTTTCCTGAATAATGAGTCCACCAATAACAAGAATGTGATGACAGATAGATATAGAAAAAAAAAAAGCCATATATTTACTAAATAGTGTAGCATATATAGTGTATACTTCATGATATATATGATATATAGCACATAAATATACTATGTAGTTATATACTAAAATATGCTATTTCCCATTTCTATATAAATTTAAAAATTGCATTTCAGTAATTATGACCTATTAGTTAGGCAGACATATAGGCAGATAGATTCTAAAAATAAGGGCCTAAAATTGAGGAGATTGAGAAGTAAGAATTGTATTTCTTTAGGATATTAATTATAAGTATCTTTCATTTGTAAAGGGCATGAATTGTTGTCCGAATTACAGCAGCGTCGATTTAATGGCTCAGATGGAGGGGTCTCATGGTCTCCGATGGATGATGAACTGCTGGCCCAGCCACAGGTTATGAAATTATTAGATTCTCTGAGAGAACAATATACTCGATACCAGGAAGTTTGTAGACAACGTAGTAAGCGTACACAGTTAGAGGAGATTCAGCAGAAGGTGATGCAGGTAAGTGTCTGATTTGTGAATATATTTAATTTTTAAAAATCTAAATGTTAAGGTTTTTAAAAAACAATTTCTACTGTGTGACTGATTTTATATTAGGTCTTATTATACTGTGTAGAGAACCTGAATCCTATCAAACAGACTAAAACTATTTTGTGTACATTTTTACAAATAATATTTGCATTAAAACTATATTATTTCTACAGTGATGACATTGAATATTCATTTTACTCTATCATTATAAACTTTAAAAGTAACTGGTTGTTGGAAAATATCACCTATGATCTCTACATTCTTGCAATAAGTAACACTTTATTAATGATGATCAAGTTATCCTTAATTTCTAATGACTTGTTAGTGTTATTTTTTTAATTTAGGCATTATGAAGAGGTTTTCTTTCCTAGCAAAATGATGACATAAAATGTAAGGAATTTTAATAATAGATTTCATTATTTTTTGATGCTGCTAGAAACCTTTAATGTATTTAATACTTAGGAATTTTTATTAGTTTCTTTGAGAGTTGATTTTTATAAAAACAGTAGGTTAAAAATACTGAAACTCAATACTAAGACATTTCTGTTACTTAGACCACATTCTGATTTTCCTCTGTTGAATTAAGAAATAAATGTTAAATGTTTTACCTGAAAAATCCAGCAATGAAATGTAGAAGACATTGTGCTGGGTTTTCTATAGAATATAGAGATAGTTTTGGTTTTTGCTAAAATTAAGCTAAAGGGATAAAATCTTAAGTGTTAAAGCTGAAGACAGAAGTGTTGTGGGCATCTATAAGAGGGACTATTCCCCTGACTGCAGGGGATCTGGGAAGATTTAGCAGAGGAGGTAGTAGTTGAGCTTTTTCTCCAAGAATGTGTAAAGATTTCGCTAGGCATCTCCTTTAAGTTTTAAAGAAGAATTGGCATTATATGCAAGAGAAAGCATAGCATAAATAAACACCAGTGCATGAAATCCCAAGTTCTGTGGAGGAAAAAGCAAGCAGTCAGGCACCGTGGGAAGTTTTTGGCCTTTGAATCATAAAGCATGGTCAGCAAGTATGATTTAAATCCCAGTTCCTCCATGTACTTAATGTGATCATGGTCACATTATTCACCAACTTGTGCCTCAAACTCAGACTTCCTTCTTTTTTAACATCCCTCTCTTCTTTCCCTTCCTTCCTTCTTTCATTAACTGAAACAAGGGTAACAAGACCTCTTTTGAAAGGTTTGTTGAAAGAATCCAGTGCTGGATTAATGGTATCTATTACATTTATTTCCATCGTACGAGGCTCTAGTCTGTAAGTCTGGTCCCATTGTTGGCAAACTTTTCCTATAAAATAGGGCCAAATAGTAAATGTTTATGCTGTGTGGACTGTACAGTTCTTAGAGCTATGGCTGTGAAGCCCTGCTGTTGTAGTGTGTAGACATCATATAAACAAATGTGTTGTCTGTGCTAAAATAACATTTTATTTACAAACATAATGGGTAGTCAGAATTGGCCTGCAGGCAGTAGTTTGCTGACCCCTGACTAGAACATCAGGGTGTTAGAGTAGAAAAGGCTTGAAAGGAAGAAGATGATCATGGAAGATCTTGAATTCCAGGCAAAGAGATTTAATCTTTCTTGTGATAGCCATGTATACACTGAAGATTTCCAAGCATACATTAATTGTAGATAGCTTTTTCTTTGTAATATATTTATAACTTATAGATAGGATTTATAGCTTACAGATAGTATAGATAGTATAGGTAGATAAACTTCAGCCAAGTAGCTTGAGAGTATCTTTGAAAACCATAAATACAGAATAATGTAATGGTGTACAAATCTCTCACATGATCTGGGTCCACCTTTTTCTACTACTTCCAAGTTATTTACTTTCTCAGGAAAGAAATGTAACTTCTCAGTGCCCTAGCTTCCTCCTCAGTAAACTGAGGATGACAGCGACAACAACAGTAATGATACCAACTTAATAGGACTGCTACAAAGATTAAAGAAAATAATATTTATAAAATATTTAGTACTTATCATATAATGAATTTTCTATAAATAATACCTGATATTTGCTCACTCATTCAAAAAATGAATGTCTACAATAGTGTGACTTCATGCTAGGTAGAATATAATGGTGAGTAAGAATAGACTGCATTCCCACTTTTATGGTGCATGATTACATAATTACACAAATAGTTGTAAAATTGTAATTGTGCCAAGTCCCAATAAGGAAAGTGGTGGGAGTAATGGTAAGAAGAAAATATCAGAGATGAATCATTTTTCTGATTTGTAAGACTTGATGGGTGGTCTTGTTGTTCAGTTAGAAAACACTGGACAGGATTTGGGTTTAGGTGTGGGTGAAAAAGGGTATAGAGAATCATAAGTTTGGTTTTAGACATGTTGGTTTTTTATTTTTTTATTTTTTTTAATTTTAAGTAATGAACATACAGTGCCATTTTGGTTTCTGGAGTAGAATTCAGTGATTCATCTCTTACATACAACACCCATTGCTCATTATAATGAGTGCCTGCCTTAATAACCATTACCCGTCTAGTCCATCCCATACCCTACTTCCCTTCATCAACCCTTAGTTTGTTCTCTATGGTTAAGAGTCTCTTATGGCTTGTATCCTTCTCTCCTTTCCCCTCTGCCTTCCAATATGTTCATCTGTTTTGTTTCTTAAATTCCATATATGAGTATTTGTCTTTCTCTGACTTCTTTCACTTAGCACAATACACTCTAGTTCCATCCATGTTGTTGCAAATGGCAAGATTTCATTCTTTTTGATGACTGAATAATACTCCATATATATATATTATGTATATATAATGTATATATATACATAATATATATATATATATATACCACATCTTTTTTTTTTAAGATTTTATTTATTTAAGAGAGAGCAGAGAGAGAGAGAGCATGTGGGAGCATGAGCAGCAGGGGGATGGGGGCAGGGGAAGGCTGGAGGGAGAGGAAGAAGCAGATTCCCTGCTGAGGACCCTGGGATCATGACCTGAGACAAAGACAGACACTTAATTGAACTGAGCCACCCAGACACCCCTATACGATATCTTCTTTATCTATTCATCTGTGGATGGACATTTGGGCTCTCTTCATAGTTGGCTATTGTTGATAATGCTTCTATAAACATTGGTGTGTGTGTACCCCTTCAGATCACTGTATCCTTTGGGTAAATACCTAGTAGGGCAGTTGCTTGCTCATAGGGTAGTTCTATTTTTAACTTTTTGAGGAACCTCCATACTGTTCTTCAGAGTGGCTGTACCAGTTTTCATTCCCACCAACAGTGCAAGAGGGTTCCCCTTTCTCTGCATCGTTGCCAACACCTGTTATTTCTTATATTAATTATAACCATCCTAAGGGGTGGTTATAATTAATATAAGGGGTGTGAGATGGTATCTCATCATGGTTTTGTTTTGTATTTCTAAGGGGTGTGAGATTGTATCTCATCATGGTTTTGTTTTGTATTTCCCTGATGATGAGTGGTGTCGAGCGTCTTTTCATGTGTCTATTACCTTTTTTGGAAAAGTGTCTATTCATGTCTTCTGCCCATTTCTTGATTGGATTATTTGTTCTTTGGGTGTTGAGTTTGCTAAGTTCTTTGTAAATTTTGGATACTAACACTTTATCAGATATGTCATTTGTGAATATCTTCTCCCATTCTGTAGACCACCTTTTAGATTTGTTGTTTCCTTTGCTATAGAAGCCTTTTATCTTGATGAAGTCCCAGTAGTTCATTTTTGCTTTTGTATGCCTTGCCTGTGGTGATAAGTCTGGTAAGAAATTTCTATGTCCAAGGTCAAAGAGGTTTCTGCCTGTGTTCTCTAGGATTTTGATGGTTTCCTGTGTCACATTAAGGTTTTTCATCCATTTTGAATTTATTTTTGTGTATGGTATAAGAAAATGGTCTAGTTTCATTCTTTTGATGTTGCTTAGACTTGTTGAATTTGAGGTGACTTTGAGACACTAAGAGAAAATATGGAAGGGTAGCCCCATAGAGGTCTGGGCTGGTGACTTAGTTGTTTGTCGTGTATGAATGGCAATTAAAAGCATTGATGTGGGTGAGAGTTGATCAAGGAAAGTCCTAAGAGTTTGTGAAAAGAGGGCTTTCTGACTGAGCTTTGAGAAACTCCAGCATTTGATGACAAGATAGAGGAGCATACTTCTGAAAAGAAGGGAAGGATTGGCCAGAGATGGAGGAGAAAAGTGTGAAGAGTTCTGTGTCATGGAAGCCAGGGGAAGCATTTCAGGATGGAATTGGGATCCTTGTAGAATGCTGCTGAAAGATCAAATAAAAGGACAACTTAACATGTCCATTATAATGTATAAGATTGAGGCCACTTGGTGACCCTTGAACATGGAGTAAAGCACACTGGAGTGATTTTGGAATGACAGTGAAGTGTAGTGAGGGAGACACAGAGTATGGGCAACTCATTGAGAATTTGTCTCTGAAGGAAAGATGAGAAATAGTGATGCCTAAAAGCGGTAGAAAAAGGGTGGTATTAGTTACTAAGTCTGCTGTAACCAAGTACCACAACCTGGGTGGCTTAAACAACAGAAACTTATTTCCCCATGGTTCTAAAGGGTAAAAGTCTAAGATCAGGGTGTTGGGAAGGTTGATTCCTTCTAAAGGCATTGAGGAAAGAATCTGTTCCAGACTCTTGGCTTGTTGATGCTCTGTCTTATTTCTGTATCTTTACATTATCTTAACTCTGTACCTTCCTGTGTCCAAATTTCCTCTCCTTTTAAGGACACCAGATTAGGGTCCACTGTAACAACCTCTTTTTTTAAATTAACATATAGTGTATTATTTATTTTAGGGGTACGGTCTTTGCATCATCAGTCTTACGTAATTCACAGCACTCACCATAGCACATACCCTCCCCATTGTCCATCCCTCAGCCACCCCATCCCTTCTTCCCACTTCCCCTCTAAGAATCCTGTTTGTTTCCTGAGATTGACTCTCTTATGGTTTATCTCCTTCCCCGGTCCCATCTTGT